AAAAAAATTTCAGGGTAGCAAACATTCTCTAGAATTTCTCTTAGATTCAAACCCATAGCTGATGATAGAACTAGAATAGATATTTTTTGTTTCCTACTTACACGAGCCTATATCCTTGCTTTTCTATTAATTTCTAATTCTGATCTTCCTCCCCAATCTGATATTATGGTGCCGGTATAGATCGAAATTCCGTTATGTTCCAATTCTGATCGGTAATAAATATCGGGAGTTTGCAATATTTGATTGATCACAATTCTATATATTCCATTGACTATAGAAGTTTCCAGGGAATTCATTAGAGGAATGTTTCCGATAAAAATTGTTTGGTCAAAAATGTTTGTCATACTGCATTTATCGAAAGTCAAATTGACTAATTTTCAAAGATAAATTAGATCACATTAATTCGATATTTTAAACAAAAAAATTAAAAATTCTAAAACTATATAAAAATTACTATAAATTATAATTTTTTTGCATATTAATATAATGAAAAATGCATCTTAAAATGTTAGTTAAAGTTTTTACAATTTGACTTTAAAAATATAAATTATGACAATTATTACCGGACGTAGAAAATAATAAATAAATATTGTTAGACATAATAATTATTTTTTTGATCTAAAACTAGGAATAAATAGTTGGTAAAAATTGTCCACATAGACCACGTACAGACAAGAACTACGGATTTGACTGATTCAGGGCTGCACAAGTATATATCAAAATAAGCAACTTGTTATGTGAAATTGATAAAGTGTGTCTTGTTTTAATTATTATTAAATAAATTTGTTTGTGCTTAGCGTGATTGTAAAGGAACCGTCACATTTAATTTAGTAGCACCTAAAATTAAAATACTCAAATATTTTGCAAAAACTAAAGATAGATTTAAAAGTCTTTCGGAAGATAATTAATTTAAACACACAAATATACAAGCTCAAACGAAAGGTGACATAATTTAAATTTAAAACTCAAACTAATAATCTATTTAACTATACTTTCAAAAAATGACTAAGTTAACATTCTTTTTTTTAAAAAAAATATGGAAATTGAGGACAGAAAGAGAAAAGTTAAAAGCAAATGAAGAGGAAAATCTGTCCGTGATAAATATGTTATTTGATCGAAGAAAGGCTCTCATTTGGTAAATTAGACAAATAACGTTATTTTCCCAATCGATCGCGGGAAAAAAAATCAATACGATTGGAACTTCATTAGTGTCGGTAGAATAAATTCATATTTTAGAATTTTCTTTTTATTTCACACTAGTGACGGTAAAATGTGTTTATATTTTGGTAATCTATTTAATTTGTCTAGTATTTTAATGGATCGGGTGACTAACATTTTGTATGTATAAAATATGAATTGATAATCATACTCAACCAATAAAATATGGATAAACTATGAATAAAATATAAATTAGCCAAATGGTTTAAGATTCTATGTTTTATTCGTTCAAAATTTATAATATCACTAAAAATATTATAACTTATCTTCCTTTTTATGTTCTTCTATACAACTAATTATTTTTATCTATAATTGAAAAGATGAAGTCTTTGGACCCTCCAAAAAAATATATTTTAAATGTAAATTTTTTTTGGTTGATTATAACAATATTTTTTTTTCATTTGTTTGATTTTATATTGGATAATAAATAATAGTGTAAAATAATCAAATCACGTATTAGTATTGACATTACTTAAAGTGCATTAAACATGTTATAATCCTAAAATTCAAATATTCATGTGGATTATAATAACTCTTTTTGTTCGTTTGTCTTCATGGTTCTCTGAACAGTACCTGTGAAATCATACTGAAGATATAGCTGAGCAAATTTGAATGTCATGTACAAAGTTGGACTTTTTACTTTCAACAAACCAGTTACCTATAGCACAAAGGTTTTTCTTTCTTTCCCAACCCGTTGATTCTAAAGCCTACTTTCTTTCAATTGAATCTTGATCCAACCTACTATAAGGATCCTTTATCTAGCAATGTAAAAGGTAGGAATGAAAAGCGCAACTTATGGGATCTTGATTTGATTTTCAGTTTTTTTCTTAATTAATGCAATAGATGAATATTATTAAATCTTAACTTAATTTTTCACCCTTTTTTCCTTAATAAATACAACAAATTAATACATATATTAATAATAATGTATCTAGATCCTTATGTATCTGAAATGCCTAAAAAAACATAAAATTTGTGTAATGAGAAAAAAAAATAAGAATAAAGTTAATTTAGATTTTACATGATGAAATTTATACAAGTTATACTTTGAATTATTATATTTTATGTTAACCATTTTCACCCCGCCCATTTGCTATCACTATGTCCCACCATCCAAACCTTTTTTTCCTGGCTCGAGGGTTATATTTTTACGTTTCAAGACTCATTATTACGTATGTTGATCCATCCTTATCGTTATGAGTGATTATTCAGAGTAGCTAAATGTTAATAATTCGAAGACCAGATTTCCCCCATTTCTTAGTTGTATGACTATTCTTGTAAACTGGTAGAGCATTGCTCAATAAAAATTACAAGTAGCTAATTGATCATGTGATCATGACAATGTCTTGCTCTTTGAAGATCTGCGTTCTCATGATTTTCTTAAGATCAATTTTTCACAGTGTTGCCTGCTCAATGAATCACAAATGTTACACAAGGTTGCGGATATCATATTAAGTAGAAAGGTACATAAATTAAAGAAAAATAAAGGAGTAAAGTGACACAATTGGAATTAGTTGATACAATTGAAATTAGTTAATCATAAACAAGCAATAAACTTTAGGTTTAAACTTGGCCATCATTTCGGGTCGCTGAAGAAGCCATTGATAGATGGCATGATCTCTGGAGACCTGTTACGAACGAACTTCCTAAGACCATGCTCTGCATATTTCTCCCCTTCTGAAAAGTTCTCCAACACTCCTGCTGCCCTGTTTTCTTTGTTCACCCTATGTTTTACAGAACAAAAAAACATTGATGAATTATGGAATATATAGCAATTTTATACTTTCTACATCTCTACTTCAATCGCGATGGGTTCCAAAGAACAAAGAGCATTACAAGTAGCAAGAAGCTGCGAGAAGTTAAAGGTCCAACTTACAATCTCCTTCTCTTGTTACATGTTAGTTTAAAGAGAGAACATCTAATGCAGAAAGGAAAAGTCCATTAACAGTCCTCGTTCACACATTAAGGTCTCCACCAAAGAAAGATTCTCTCCATTACAAGCCTAAGAAGCTCATTTAGTCAGTGCACAAATTGTTTATATCTCTCGTGACCTTTAAGATTCAGTGATGAGGTAATAAGCAGAAATAAAGGAATAGCATTTGATACAAAAGAGCAAACTAAGCTGTAGAAGTAACTTAAGGGATCTCAAATCCCCATCCTTCCAAGTCTTGAAAATAACTGTACAGTTTTTCTGATAGATTATTAAGCAGAAAAAACCATAGTGTCCCGAAAAGTACCTCCCAACAATGAATGGCAAAGGAGCAGGCAGGGATAAACCATCTACCTGTAACATTGCTCCTAATACAGCACCACAGTCCACACACAGGAGCGCACCTAGATGTTAAAAATTATATTGTATGTTCAAGGAACTTTTATGTCTATCTATTGATTTTAAACCCTCCTAAATGTAAGATTTAAGGTTGGCTTCGTGGTTGAGGGGTTAAAAACTCTGCTTGAGGTTCCAAGTTCGGATCTTAGGCACTGCTCTTTTTATCTAGAACCCATGGAAATCCTGGACCCGCCACTGTCCATCCCCCAGCCCCACATTTCTCTATTACCAGTACACCACCCTGCCCCGAAGAATTTTCCCTGTTCAAAGATTTTTGCCGGACTTTATGCATTTTTTTCGTTTTTCCTCCTTGCATTTTCGTTCTCCCTTTCATAATTCAAAATCTTTACCAACTTCTCACAAATGCATAATGATACATCTGAGATGGTGTAACCTATGTTGCTTGGACTCTTCAAAATGTTGTCACACTGTGTCAGCTACGTTAAAAATGCATAACTTTGGAAGGATCAGACACTCACCAATCAGTATTTCTCTAGAGGCCGAACAAAACAGGGTGTAATATAATAAATTGCACATTCAGTCTATATTAATTACAAATGTGTACCAAAAAAAATTCATAATTCAACCAAATTGAGTAGTTGCACAAGTATGAAATAAGGAAATGCAATTAGCTTGCAGAGACGCATCAAACTATAATAGAGCTGAGTTTTTGAAGAATCTAGCAATTCATAGCACAATATAACATACAAACCATCGGCAGAAACAGATGAAGGGTTTACCTGACTTCAGGATTGATACAGACGTTGCGAATCAATTGAAACCCACAAATTCCAACAGCTACTCCTACGGCTGCAAATAGTGGATACACCTATAACACCATAAAAATTACATCATCAGTACTCCAGATCTAATCGCCGAACTAGTAAATACAGTATAACATTACACATACAACGATTGCCTCTTTGCTAGATCTATGAACCAAACAGTAACATAGCAAATTTCAGGACGACGAAAAAGACAAAGTTAAAGAGAGATAAATAGACCTCGGGCCTCAGCCATCGGTTGACGGTGGAGGAAGCCATGGGAAGGAGGAGCAGAATCGGAAAATGAAGAATGCTTCCTTCCAAGTACAGAGCTCAGCTGGCGATGTTCTTCTCTGTATTTATATTTAGTGTGGAATGTTCTTCTCAGCTGCAATTTGTTTTAAGTTCATTGTACCCAAACGCCCATGGTTTTGAATACTGTGCTCCAATTGGCTCTGTTAGCCTCGGAAGACGTGACACTGCGTTTCAATTTACGTTAAAGATTCAAAATCTTAAACTAAAATTGTAAAATTCAAATATAAAAGCTGTGAATATTTTAATTCCTTCTCTCGCTATATTAAATATAGTTATTTATTAGTCATATTTATCCAATTTAAAAAATAAAATAATAGTTATTTATTATATTAAAAATAATTATTTATTAATTATATTTGTTCAATTTAAAAAATAAAATAATAGTTATTCATTATATTAAAAATAATTTTTTATTAGTCATATTTATCCAAATTAGAAATTAAGATATAATTTACCTTTTGGGTTTATGTTATTTTTCTATTAAATAGTTGTCCAAATTAGAAATCAAGATATAATTTACCTTTTGGTAATTTATGTTATTTTTCTATTAAATAGCTGTCCAAATCAGAAATCAAGATATAATTTACCTTTTAGGTTTATGTTATTTTTGCTATTAAATAATACTCTCTCTATTTCATATTAATTCAATTTTTGAGGTGTTTTACACTCTTTAAAAAAATAGATTAAAACATAAATTGAATATATTTTTGTGTTTTGACCCTTATTAATTATTGTTAAATTTATGATTAAAATAATTAAAAATATTAATTAATTATTAATTTCAATACTAATTAATAAAGGGTAAATTTGAAAGAACACTTTAAAAGTAGTCTTGAAAACTAAACAATTAAGTTAATTAGAAAAATGAAAAATGTCTCAAACAGAGGTGATTCGATAGTGCAAAAAAAACATGTGTCGTATGCCCCCAAATTTAAGAGGCCTCATTTTTTTTTATAATAATAGATTATAAGTTATTATTTTTTAACAAATATTGCATGCTAATTGTAAAAAAAAGTAAACATTTCATGAAAATGAAGAGATTAATAGAAGAAATTTTACATATTTGGAGTACTATATCTAATAAAAAAAATTTAAAATAAGAATGATTATATTTTTGAATGAAAACTAGAAGAATAAATACATGAAAGTTATTAAATTTAAATTTAAGGCCCCGTTTGATTTTTGTTTTAGGTCATTACTACGCTTGAGCCACTCCTGGTCTCAAAAATTAAGTTAAAATGAAATGATTAGAGTACTATTTATGAGTCCAAAACCAAAAGGGCAACAATTTTTTTCGAATTTTTCAAAAGGGAACTCAATACATTATGATACCAAAAGGGCAACATTCTAATTTTTTCTAACGTTGTTTAAAATATAATTTTTGGAACAAGATTCAAAAATTCATGAGCCTTGTAAGACTCATGTATTTTTGAGCCTTATAAAGTACAAGTCCACATCATTTTTAACAAAAAAAAAAAGTTATTGCATTTTTTCCTTACATAATTTTTTTTTGTGTCGCATTTTTGTTGTTTCTTTCATATATATTTTTGTTGTTTCGTAATATGATAAAAAAAAATTATGCTACTTCATGTCTAAGGTAAAAAAACACAATATTTTTACTATTTATAGTAAACATAAACAATGCATATATGTTGGAGTTCGAAAACTTCAATTTCATATTTTTGAAGTGTTTTTTTGAATTTTTTTTAAAAAAGGACATGGACAAATGATTAGTATTAACTTGAATGCTAAACCAGCATGGCCTACAAACTTCATAATATGTAAATAAATATTTATAATTTGATGAACAAAAATGACGACTAAAGTTGTTGATGAACAATTGAAAGAATATTTCTTTGTCAAGTTTGAGCACAAACTAAAATATTTTGCAATCATTAGTAGATAAATGTGTCTAGTTATATGCTTTGTATGGGCTCCTTTTAAAATAATGAATGATAATTATATTAAAAAAAATTAAAAAGAGGAAAAGGGATCAAATTAAATAGTGGAAACTAGATTTCTAATTGGTTGTTTTTTTATATACTTTAATTGATATTGACTGGGAACTAGATTAAAACTAGAAGTATAATTTTTATCATATTACGAAACAACAAAAATACAACACACAGAATAGGGAAAATGCATAAGTACTCCCTCAATTTATGTCCAAAATTCTACGGACACACTTATACTATACTAAGGTCCTATTACCCCTGAATTTATTTTATAAGTAATTTTCTATCCCTTTTTGGCCTACGTGGCGCTAACTTGAAAAAAAAAGTCAATCACCGTTGAACCCACAAGATAGTGCCATGCAGACCGAAAATGAGTAGAAAATTATTAATAAAATAAATTCAAGAAAATATAGGACCTTAGTATAGTATAAGTGTGTCTCTAAGATTTCAGACATAGGTTGAGGGAGTACTTGTGCATTATCCCAAAAAAATAAATATTATGTAAGGAAAAAAATGCAATTTTTTTTAAAATGACGTGGATGTGCGCCTTACAAGACCAATGGGGTTTTGAGTCTATTCCAAGAACCCTATTTTACACAACATTAGAAAAAGTTTGAAAATGTGGCCCTTTTAAAAATTTCAAAAAAAATTATTGTCCTTTTAATTTCGGACTCTACCATTTATCGTCTAACATATTTCTTAAGAATTAACTTTAATAAAGTCAAAGGATCATATAGTAATATCACCCTTATTATTTATTGTTTCTTAATGGTGTATCAAGTCAATAGTAAACAACTATTGTTGGACAGAGAGTATAAAATATACTAGTAATAACTAAAAATTGGATAATGTCAAATGATCAAAAAACTTAGCCAGAATTTGGAAGAAATTAAACTATGATATCTTTTTTATTTTAAATAAACAATCTTTTCCCCATTTTTAGTTGATAAAAGGAAAAAATATTCAAAAAAGTAAAAAAAAACATACGTAAAATATCATTTTGGCCACTAACTAAATTTTTTGGCCAAAAAATATTTCCTAATCAAAATACATTCAAAGGATAAAACAGTAATATTAATCTTACTAATTATATTATTTCTTAAGAGATGTTTCAAGTAAATAGTAGAAAACTATTGTTAGATAAAAAGAGTATAATTATACTAATAATCAACCAAAAATAAAACCTCAGTCAGAGAAAATGAATACTCTACATCTTTGTTTAAAGAATGTTTCATTCAAATTTAGTCGAAGCTTCAATATAGTTCAGACACTGACCGAAAAATAAAAAATAAAAGAATGTGAGCTCCAAATATTATTTTTTATTTAAAATGCTACTTTTTCATATTTGGAAAATTTATTCAATTATTGGTATCTCCAGAACTTCAAAAGCATTAAAATATTCAATTGTGAAGTACTTATGAAGCTGTTTGGTTAGAAAACAAGTTACGTTGAGATTATTGTGCTAACCAATACGCCTGGTACAACTAAAAAATTTATTTATTCGCAAAAATATAATCATTTTAACAGACTTCAATTGAACCGACAACTAAAACCAACCAAGTCTCTCTTTATCCAAAAAGAAAAATTAAGTTTGTTTACCTCACACCTTCTTAAACCCCACTAACAAATATAGTGCCTAAGTTCCACTCTGAATTTAAAACACCAAAGGCTTGAATTTGAACATCATCCAAAGTTCCAAACATAGACTATAAATTTGAAAATAGTCTTTTGCAAGAGAAGCTTAGAAAATCAAATGACTGCAAGGATATTTCATGACATCAATTATAAAATTGAGTAGTGAACTTCAAAAATTGAGTTTCTTCGCTGCAAAACAAAGATATCGGCCTTACCATTACAAGTCTCTGGTCATATGTCAAATCACAACCGGTCCACTATCAGAGCACACACATCTTCATCTTGTTGGACTCATCAACTCCGCGATGGGAATGAAGAAAAACAGTCTGTATATTCCTGCCACGGATGAAACGCATGTACTTCTATTCTCATTTGTGATATCAGGTTTTCAAATCTCACTAGCCCAAAACCCACAGAGAAAAGTAAAAAGCTTCCCCTTCAAAAGGTTCACAAATACTAAGCCCAACCCAGGACCTCTTCTTAGGATGAAAATACATGTACTTCATATAACTAAACCAATACATAAATGAATGATAGGCTTAACACCTTGCCAAGAAGGAAACAAATCTTATGTTTTAGCATAGTCAGGAATTGGAGTATGTACTCTGTACAAGATTAGGGACTATACCCACTGAAATATCTAATATAAACCTTTTCACTATACCACTTTCAGCTAGTTCACTTCACAGGGGCCGCTTGTACAGAGACTGCTGCTGAGGAATGCAGTCTGGGCTCATATGTGCTCCCATGGAAGCAATACAACTCAATAAACACAACTCTACAATTAACAATTTAACATCACGAGTGAAACCCACATTTACAAGAAGACGGCTTGAATGCCATTGACAAGTATAATACAGTCAACGAGAAGATCTACAACTAGATCCTTGTTCTGACGGTGAAGTCAATTCAAGAGAACCTGCCACCAAGTGCTCAACCAGTGTCCAGTTGGGTCAAGTAAGTTGTACCATAGAAACCAAGAAAATCTGAAGTACACCGAAATAAGAAGGGAATAAGAGTGAGCAAGTATTCCTTTTTTTTTCCTTTTGAGATCAATGAGTGAAACAAATTCTTTGAAATAGCAACAAATACTGATGTGAATTACAGTAAGTACACCGAAAACACCTCCATATATAGTGATTTGGCTTAGATAGATGGTGCATACCTCAATTACCACATGTTTAACAAGAAAAACATGTATCATCATAATAAGGACGTCAAAACATGGTGAAAGCGTTCTATTCTCTCATGGCCATGATATGATAACCTGCCAGCCGAAATGTTTCTTCTCTTCCTTCCAAGACGGTAAAAGAAATCCTCGGTGTCCAGTACATAAGAGATCTGCAAATCCTCATCTTATCAGTTGAATGAATTTATCCTTAAATTGTTTTTACCTACGCTGGGAACTGATAAAGGCACTAACTTTCAGTTATAACTAGTGGTAGCAAATGGACGGATTTGGGCGGA